CTTGCATCTGTACATACAAGATTCTTCCTTACAGACTTGATACCATTCTAGAGTGCCTTTTCTTTACAGACTTGATACCATTCTAGAATGCCTTTTCTTTACAGACTTGATACCATTCTAGAATGCCTTTTCTTTACAGACTTGATACCATTCTAGAATGCCTTGATACTTTACAGACTTGATACCATTCTAGAATGCCTTTTCTTCTTTTGGTATTTTTGAGACAAGGTCTCCCTGTAGCTGGCATGGAACATGCTATGCAGAACAGGCTAGCCTCAAACTCATAGAGATCCGTCTGCGTCTGCCTCCTGAGTGCTGAGAATGCCTTTTTCAATGGATTAACAATGTCTTGAAGTACACAGTGAATTTGCATTTATGGAAACTACCAGTGTGTAAGACTCCCAAGGCAATCTGGAAGTGTAGCCATTTTTCAGAGAAGGGTTCAATACCAGAACTGTGTTGCCACAGAAATTGATGCTCCAACTTTAACCATTGGTTGTACTGGTTTATGAACAGAAAATGAAGCAGCAAATTTCAACAAAAAGGAAGTCATGTAAAGAGGCTGAAAATTAAGTTCAAATCCTACTACCTTCTCTTCCATCTCACTTCCAGCTCTGGGTAGATTCAGAGGACTTGGAGAACTTGGCGTATCACTGGACTAGAACAGAAGAGAGAGCACTCACGTTAAATTTGGGAACAGGAAGTTCTGGGCAAATAACCAGACACTTTATGCCTGGGCAGGGTTGCCCCCTCCTCCACACTACAGCTGGTCTCCAAGAGTCAACCGGGATCATGGTGAGGACTCTACTGAGAAGGACTATAAAGGCACAGGGGGCACAGTCTTCTTCTCTGACCTCAGTGCATTTCTTACCTGAGTAGTCCCCAGCCTTCAGTCCCTGTGTTTCCTTCCAAGACCTGAGAGAAGCTGAGAGGCTGCTCAATGGCCACCTTACCTGGGAAATTAGGGCTATGTTACATACAGCTCCAACTCTGCAGTTTTTAGCCTTGCTGGCAGCCTTCTGCCCTTCACCTGTGAGACCCCAAAGCAGACTGAGAAGAAAAGAAGATCCTCCCAGAGCCACATGCAAAGTGCTGGGTTGAGAGGGTGAAAGACGGGAGGCAAAGAGAAGGGAAAGGCTGAGGGTGACACTCCAGTATGTAGGCTTGCCCTAGAAACATCCTGAGGTCACCTACGTCTTTTGGATGGCCAGCTATACCATCTACCTTGTGCTGCCATATCAACTCCAGTCCATTCTATGCTCTGCACTAAAAAGATGTTTAGAAAGCACAAAATTAGGGCCAGCAAGATGGCTCAGTGGGTAGGCACAGACCTGATGACCCAAGATCAACCCCTGGATCCCACAAGGTGGCAGGAGAAAACTAACTCCCGAGAGAGAAAACTGACTCCTGAGAACTGTTCTCTGACTTCCACACATGTTCCATGGTATGCATGCGCAAAAATACACACACACAAAATTAACTTTCAAAAGTTAAAAAAAAAAACATGGGCTGGAGAGATGGCTCAGCAGTAAAGAGCACTGACTGCTCTTGCCGAGGACCCAGGTTCGATTCCCTGCACCCATATGGCGCTAACAACTGTCTGTAACTCCAGTTCCAGGAGATCTGACACCCTCTTCTGACCTCCGAGGGTATTTGCTCGACACAGGTGCACCTATCTACATGCAGGTATTACACGCATACACATGAAATAAAAGTAATAAATAAAATATTCAAAAAATTTAAAAACACATAAATCAGCTCCTGACACTTCCCTGCTTATTATTACTCAGGCTTCAAAACAAAATCTACCTTTTCCTAGCTTCTGTCAGCAGGCCTCAGCATTTGCTCTCCTTCAACCTCCACCCAGCCACACCTGACCAGGAAACAGGTTATCTTTTCGAGACCTGCTCAGTCTCACCTGGGCCTTTGTTCTGATTGCTGTGCCTAGAACAAGCTTCCACCTTGTCACCCCTTAGTCTGTTTCTCTGAAATTGCAACCCCTTTCCAAAGTTACTTACTGTCTTAGACTCTGTGCAGTCAACATTTTTCTTGGTCTGAAATGATTATCTTTACCTGTACATTGACTTGTGTGCTGTGTGACACCCTCTCATTAGGATGTAAATCACCAGAGGCCTTCCTGTGGCAAATCTTGCTCATCTCAGTAACACCCACACCTAGGACAAGGTCTGCTGAACAGAAAGCCTCTCTCTTCCTCCAGGCAATGGCACCACTCACTTAGATGATCACAAGTAACAGCAAGAACACTCTTCCATCTTTATGAAATCTCTGCATTAAAGTGATGGCTGTTCCTGCTGCCTGACTCTGGAAAGGTGGGGGAGAGCATTTTTAAACCTATGAGGAGGGATAAATGAACCCTGTCTCCTGCTTCACCCACCACCTAAAGGGTATCAACATGTAGGTGGCAGAGAGCATCATGGCCAGGTGCCAGCAGACAGAGATGGGCAGCAGGGTGGACTGCCCTCTTCACTTCCTGTCCTTGCTTTCCTCTGGAAATTGCTAGTCTTTTTTACTGCCTTTCTGACATATTAGCTGATAACAGGTATGCCCATTTTGATAACCACCAAAAATTCCAGCACCCAGACAGGCAGAGTGAAAATGCCTCGAACCGCCTCCCCTCCACCAGCAAAATAACCTGTTAATACTCAAAGGCCACCTGTCACTAGAGCACACATAGCTCTAGCTCTTTACGGCACTTTTGTTCCTTTTCTCATGAGCCTTCTAAAGGCATTTCTTCTGCAGCTGGAAGAACTCTTAATTCAGGATACCCTGAGGTCTTGCTGGACCTCTGCTTCTTTCTTTTTTCATTGCCCCTTAGGTTGGTCTAATTTGACAAGTAATTATTCAGTGCTATTCAGAGGCAGTTGCTAAGTCTTGAGGAGGAAGAGATGTGTAAGACCCAATTTGGCCAAAAGGAAGCCAACATAGAGATGGAGAGAAAACAGTAATATGAACAGACACAGAAGGGCAAAACATGGCAAAGTCACATTGTGAAAGTTCAGCGGAAATAACGTGGCTTGGGGGTGAGGCTAGTAAGGCCTTCCAGAAGAGAATAAGGCTCAACAACCTGAGCCTTGAAGGATATGCAGACAGCAAGAACATTTGCCAAGGGCCTGGGTGGCCTTCTTCATTGGCCCTCACTCAGGGCACCTATCCAAGACGTACTATGCCTCAGAAAAGCTCCTACCTTATTCCCTTCACCATTTCCCCTGTAGACCGTAGAGTCATCAGATGTCACTGTCCATTGCCCAATGTCCTGACCAGGCTTGTGAGAATCATTTTTTTTCCCTTGGAGGAGACTTACTTTGTTCTCAGTGTCTGAGAGGACAATGTCCTGCTGAGTCACAACTTCCATGGGACTGGTCAGGAACAAGTCCTCTTCGGAGCTAACTTCTGCACTTCCAGCCTTCTTCATGGGGATGGCATTAGGTGGCCGCTGCCCAAACTTGATATTCTTGCCCAACTGTCGCTGGGGAGAAATGAAGGGAAGACATTCTGAAGCAGTCTCAAAAGCCATAACCAGTTTCCCCAGCATAGCTAGGAAGCAACCAGGCATAAGCCACACACAGCTGCTTTCTAGAGGCACTGCCACGCCAGGGAACCTTGAGGCAGGCCTGCAGTGACTTCACTTGGTTTCCATTTTCAAGCCATGGGTTTTTGTTTCTCTAGCTACCTCTTGGATGGAAATGCCAACAATATCCAGAAGGTCTAGGGTCCATATTTCTAAACCAAGGCTGGAAATATATTTTTAATGTTTTGATCAAGTTACAGGAAAACAGACTCTTTCAGTGTGGGTGCCACATGGGAGCTCTCTAGCCCCTTCTGGGCACATTCCCCACCAGTCTTTATCCTTTCTCCATCTAGCTTGTGACCCCATGTCAAAACTGAATGCTCTGGTCACAATGGGTCACAGCCAAGGTGAAGAAGGTCCTGGGCCAGCAAGGCATTCCTGGTGAATGACGAAATCACACCAGGGGTGGGAAAGGTTCAGATTTCTTTGCCTTGCTTCAGCTACACATCATGAAATAAGGGACACAAGGAACCAGGGAGAGAAAACGGCTAAAGGTCTGGTCACTGGCAGGTGGTGGGTAAAAGGACAGGCTGAAAGGGGGAGAAATGGGCTAGAAATGGGAATCTAAATAGCATTTGGAATTAGACAAGGGCTGGACCAGAAAAGGAGCACTGTCTCCAGATGCTGCCCAATGTCTCCTGGGGTAAAGTGCCCCCAGCTGATAACCACTGCTCTAGATTAGGTACTTGACTTTTGTAGTCCATATACGGTTTTCTTTAATCTGTATCTTCAATAGTGATCTTTAATCTGGCTGATATGTAATCCAACAGAGCTTCCAACAAGAGCCTTAGCAAACATCTACTACAACCCCCTCACTTTGAAAAAAACAAAGGTCCAAGTTCCAGAGGGAAGAAGTGACTGACCCAAGTTTATGGGAAGGATGAGTGGCCACAGAGGAATCTGAGCCCAGGTCTTTGGACATCACATCCAGGGTTCATTAAGCTTCAGCAGCTCCCATAAATTTAACATTGAATTTCCTTCTTGTAGGGATAGTTACATAAAGATATGAGGTGGCATTTTAAAATATTTCTCTAAAGATTCATGGCAAAAGAATCCCTTGAGGTTAAATGCCTCCCTCTCCCTTACAATTCAATGAGATCAAGTCCACCGGTATTTACCCAGCTCCTCCCCCCACCCCAGCTTTGCCCAGTGAGCAGTTAGACTGCGGGTGCATCACAGAGCCCCAAGACTCCCCTCTCTATGCAGCCCCCTCCCCTCAGCCACCCAGCATGCCAAGTCAGGTGCAAGGCCTTGCATTTGGTCCACTGGGATTTCAGCCTGCACCTGGCTCCTAGCCACACAGGAATGGAGTGCACATCAAAAGCCCCCCATTCAGCCAGGGAAGGAGAGCTTCAGCAGCCCAAAAGGGTTACAGGTTGCTGAAAAAGGGTTTCTTCCAGAAACAAGTCCAGCAGGAAGCAGCGGTTAGTATCTACTCTAAACAGGTCAATAAGCAGGCACAGTTAGAACAGCCGATGATGGAAGTAGACAAGAGGACATGGAGTCACATAGCCACAGGCCTGGCTCACTCTACTGCCCTAGGGAAGAGGGTGAGAGTCTGGGTAAAGGACATGGGGGTAGCTCCTGTGTCTCCCAGCCCAGCCTTTCCTAGGAGTGCTGGCCACAAGCAGGAATCCTGTTGGACTGGGAAGACCTCCTGTTGGCAGGGTCTGCTGCTGGTGGTGTTTTAGAATGAGATGAGGGTGGGTGACTCCTTTCCTTCCCTCCCTCCCTTTCTCCTTCTCTTTTTCCCTCCCTCGCTCCCTTCCTAAAGATTTACTTGATTTTTATGTGTATGCTGTATGTCTGTGTGTACATAGATACTCGTAGGTGCAGGTGCCCACAGAGGCCAGAGGCCTCCTGGCATTACAGGTGGAACTACCCCATATGGATTCTGGGAACTGAACTCCTATCTTCTAAAAGAGCAGCATATGCTTTTAATCACTGAGTCTCTCTCTCTTCCTTCCTTCCTTCCTTCCTTCCTTCCTTCCTTCCTTCCTTCCTTCCTTCCTTCCTTCCTTTTTGACAGGGCCTTACTATGTAGCCTAGACTAGCCTCTGACTCTCAATCTCCTGCCTGTCCTCCTGAGGGCAGGGTTTATAGGCATTTGCCACTTGTCTGAGTTTTCCTTCATCAATTGATACCTTCACCATATAATAATTGCACATATTTATAGAGTGCAGTGTGATATTTCAATACGCGTGTATAATACAATCAGAGTGATTAGCATATCCATCACTTCAAATATTTTTCATTTCTTTGTGTTGGGAATGTTCACACTTCTCTTTTCTAGATATTCTTAAATATATAATTAATGAACTACAGTTGCCCTACTGTGCTACAGAACACACTAGAACTTAATCCTCCTCCTAACTGTAATGC